CTCTCTCTCTCTCTCTTAATAAAACTAACATCATATTACAAGACTCAAGTTATAGATTCTAAACAGAAATAATCCAAGTCACAAAAAAAATCCTAGTTCAGTATACAAATTATCATTACATCTATATTTCTTGGCAAATTTTGTAATCTAAGATTATACTTCATTTTCTGTACTAAGATATCTACCGACATTTACTCCTCTTCAAATCAACATTTTATTTTATATTTGTAAATTGTAAAACATAAAGAGATACAGTCCCTGAAACGTTCTAATTTCCCATTTTTCCGTTCGTTCACCGTTCGTTCAGCGTGCGTTCACCGTTTGCTCTCCGTTCGTTCACTTTGCGTTCACCGATCACTTATCGTTCATTCTTCATTGTCATTCGGAACTCCGAAGTGAAAGGACTTATCTTTTTTAAGTAAAGATTTACGGGTTTTTCTTATTTAATAAATAAGATATTTGATAATTTACATATCGTGTTTAAAGAATCATTATTTCATGGGGAAAAAATTATCCACAATATTCTAAATTATTATTATTTTTCTTAATTATTATTCTTACTTAACTGTAAGGTTATTTATTAATTTACTCTGGAAAATAGATGTTGTTATAAGTATGTACCAATGTAGAACGATGCTGAAAAAATTAAATTTAAATACGGGCAATATACAGATACTTCAAGCACTGCAACATTTTGTTGTTATTTTAAAGACGACAAATTGTTAATGGAGAGACAATTATCCAAGTCAAATAATTATGCAGCAAAATTACGAAAAAAAATATCATTTCCAACACGTTTTTTTTTTTTTCAATTACTACAGAAACATATGAATGAACTAGTTCTGAGAGTTAAACATAGTACTGCGGATATCCTGTTAATTTAATATCTTTGGAGCGAGAGAAATTGATAGTGTGGTTAAAGGAAATATTTATTTAAAATGTAATACACTACAGAATTTTCTCTACTATAATATATAAAGTCTATAGTTATAGATAAAACAATTCTTCCTTCACCGTAACTTTATATGTTTGCCATTCGATATGATTAATATCCCCTCTTTTTTTCCCTAAATCGGTTACTTAGTCAGTATTTCCAGTATATTTTAATTAACATTTAAAAAGAAGTTAATGTGTTTTGTAGCAAAAAAATTTCAGTCTCAAAACACACATGCATCTAAAAAAGTCACTAAACAATAGTAGTCCAAAATGTACAAGTGTCGGTAGAAATTGGCAGACAGTATGTTTCAAATTGAAGTATTAATGCCCACTGTATTTAAGTATTTATTCATTATTGAAATGTTGGAATCAAATCTAGAAATGATAAAAATAAATGTTAAAACTTGTTGGAAATACTCGCACTTCGTCTTAGGGGTGACGATACTTTCACACCTGCACAGTGTCGAATGATTTTAAGTGACAAGACAAGCACGTGGACTTCGTGTGAACTTGAAAATAAAAACGAGTATGACTGTCAAACAAATGGATTTTTTGATTTAAAAACAGTTAATTTCACTGTCTGATATATTTAGAAAAAAAATTGAGAATTTTTTTTTGATATAGGTACAAACATTTAGTGAAGCCTGAAAGGGGGGAGGGCTAAAACGGAATCTCTCTCTCTCTCTCTCTCTCTCTCTCTCTCTCTCTCTCTCTCTCATGAATTTTGTCTGTTTAATAAAATATATGACAGCATATTACATAAATATCAAGTTCTGAAAATTTAATTTATAACAAATAATATGAATATGCCTCTTTGTATTATCTTGTCGGAGTATAATCACTGGGAAATCCAACTTATACTCATAGTTCCCTTTCTAAGGAAGAAATTCTTCAAAATCATATGTCAGTTTTGAATATTTTTAATATTCCAAACAACCAAAATGAATTCGAATTACCATATTTATATTGGATTCCGAAACTTCATAAAAATCCTTACAAACAAAGATACATAGCGGGTTCCAGTAAATGTTCAACCAAGCCTCTATCTTTACTCCTCACTAAGATATTAACAGTGGTGAAGGAGAAACTTCAAGAGTACTGTGCAACAATATATTCGATAAATGGTGTAAATCAGATGTGGATACTTAAAAATTCCAAGGAACTTTTGGAAAATTTGAAATCACAAGATTTTACCAAAATCAACAGCTTAAAAACTTACGACTTTTCAACTTTATACACAACCATTCCCCACGATAAATTAAAGTCCAGGCTTTTTGATATCATTGACAGCTGCTTTTTCAATAAAAATGGAACTCGTAAATATACTTACCTTGTCATTGGTCATTTGCAAAATTATTTTGTTAAAAAACATTCTGATTTTACACACAAGTACTCTGAAGTTGACATTAAAAAGACGCTTGAGTTTCTGATTGACAATATCTATGTGGTTTTTGGAGACCAGGTCTTCCAACAATCTATTGGAATTGCTATGGGTACCAATTGCGCCCCGTTGTTAGCAGACCTTTTTTTGTATTCATATGAAGCATAATTTGTCCAAAATCTTGTACGTGAAAAGAAGAAAACACTTGCTGTGGCGTTCAACTCGACATTTAGATATATCGACGACGTATTGTCAATTAACAATGGCTATTTTCATTCTTATGTCGATACGATATATCCTGGTGAACTTGAGATAAAAGATACCACAGAGTCTGACACATCTGTTTCATATTTGGATATTTTACTTGAAAAAGACGTTAATGGTAATCTAACAACCAAGCTTTATGATAAACGTGATGACTTTAACTTTTCAATCGTCAACTTCCCTTACTTATGCAGCAATATACCTTCATCACCTGCATACGGGGTATATATCTCTCAGTTGATTCGATACGCAAGAGCATGCTCTACGTATGTACAATTTCTAAAACGAGGTAAATTATTGACAAATAAGTGTCTCGTTTAAAGTCATCATTTCGTAAGTTCTATGGTCGATACAATGACCTTGTCAGCAAATACAATTTATCATTGAGTCAAATGCTGACTGACGTTTTTCATACTAATTGTTAGACCATTATTTACACACTGAATTGTCGACGGATTTTTCCGTTATTTCCAGATCATGACAAGGAGCACACGGCGGGTGTGACCGGTCGGCAGGGGATGCTCACTCCTCCATGGCACCTGATCCCACCTCTGATGTTTGGAGGTCCGTGTTTGCTCTGCTCCTATTTTGTATTGTATAATGGACGTTTGAGCTTGAATACTGTTCGTTATCTCCATATATTTCATCTACAGGTACATGTAGAAGTCTTTTCAATAAATCATTGAAAATAGAAATGACACATATAGAATTGCATTAAAATTCAAAAATACGAGCGTGTTTATGCAATACGTCCACTGACCTTTGGCACGGAAATATATGAATGGATGTTACAACCGTTTTAATTTATTCTGTAAGTCAAAAGTTTTTCTCTTGTTTGTAATGTTCTTTAATATCAAATAAGAATAAACATATTTATTTTCCAACTAAAATAAATTTATTTTTTTACTACAGCGTACGGCAAAAATTGCAATGTTTTACAGCGATAAAAATCGTGTGATTAAAAACTTAATGTGCATGCATCGTCTTTCTTAGGACAATTTTGGGCGCAATTATTGTATTTATTTATTTATTCATTCATTGATTTGTTTATTTATTTATTATCTATTGATTTTTTGGCACCTGACATAATAATACAATAAAATACATGCAGTTTCAATGCAAGGAAAAGATCAGAGGCATTCCGAATAAATCGTTCATCTTGCGTTCAGCGTTCGTTCACCGTTCACTATTTGCGTTCGCGTAAAACTTGCGCTCCGTTCGCGTTCTGCGTTCGCACACCGTTCACCGTTCACACATCTTTCACCAATTTGCGTTCAGCGTTCACACATCGTTCACTCACCGTTCGCTCTGCGTTCGTTCAGCGTTCGCTCACCGTTCAAGTTGGAAAGTAGAACATTCCAGGGACTGTATTAAATTATTCAATTTAGTGTCTGGGCATTAATTCCATTATAAAAACTAGAAATACATTGCTTGAATTGTGACGGATTTTTTCCGTTTTCATGACAAGGAGCGGGTGTGAATGGTCAACAGGGGCTGCTACCTCCCCCATGGCACCTGATCCAAACTTTGATGATTTTAGATGTCCGTATTTTTTTTTTTTTTTTTTTTTTTTTGCTTCAATGAATTTTTGAACTTGATTACTGTTCGTTATCTCCATATTTCACTTCAATATCGTTTTTCATCCAAAATCACTAAGAATTAGGTAATTTTTAAAGTGTTATAAGATTTTAAAAAGGACATTATTTGCAATTCCATTTTTAAAATATCTTATCGATTCATTTTTAGGCCCGTAATACGCAGGGTAAGGAGAGAGGGCATCCATTGTTTAAAGCTTGTTAGATTTTCTTGGGTGCCCCCTCCCCGACCCCTTTTCAAAACTATTGCTACGAGCCTGATTAATATATGAGAAATGGAACAGCAAAAACAAACATTTGCTAACTCGGCTGTACATTTCAAATAAGTGCTAAATGAAGTCTTTAAAAATCTTCTTCTTGATAAGTTCTTCTACGTCAACTTTATTTTGACCATTATAATCATAATCACACATATTATCACCGTTATATTCATTGTTTCAGAAAAAAATCTATTTTGTTCCATCCGCTTACTATTATTTTTTGTTAGATTTTAATTCGCACAATTTATTGTATCAGTTATTTGATTGATTCGCGAATGACACTTCTCGGAATTTAGATCTATTATAACAAAGAGTGCTTTGTCTCAAGAACTGTTTATCTATCATAACAACATAGTGTAGGTATCTTGGTTTTCTCATGTCAAAACATCAAAGAGTCAGTATTAAGTATATTTAATTTCTCTAATTTTAACTGTGAATCTTTCACTCAGTTGTAAACACCTGTCATTTTTGTTTCGTGAAAATAGTAGTCGTGTACTTATTTCAATTAAAAAAAAAACACAGTATTGTTCAATTCTAAATATGCTGACTTAAAAACTTCTGGTTTCAAAGGATAGTACACATGTCTGCAAGTTCACTAAAAAAACCCTTCTCCTCTTCAACTTCCACTCTAATTCTATCCCTAATTCTTTCCCTTTCCCTTCTAAGTCTTTCATTGGCTTCTCTTTCCGCTCTTTGCTTTTCTTCTTCCATTTCTCTACGTCTCTCTCTTGCTTTTCTTTCTGCCTTACGATTTTCCTCTTCAATCTCTCTGAGTTTTTCAGCTCGTATTTGTGCTTCCCTTTTCTGCTTTTGTTGCATTTCTTTTATTTGGCGAGCCTCTTCCTGTTTAGCTTGGCAGAACTCCCAACTTTGTGCTGAACGCACGCTCGACTCATCAATTTGCGTTATTAAGTTTTCAGCTCGTTCCTCTAGTAAGTGCGTCTCATATTTCGTTTGTTTATGATTCAAACACAGTGAATCATACTGTGATTGATAACTCCTGAGTCTTTCTTCCTGCTTTGCAAATTTTAAGCTGTACTTTTCCTCTATTCTTTTTTCGATAGCCTGAAATTCCTTTTTCTGTTTTTCTGCTGCTTTTTTCAATTCTTCATCTTCTTTTTTCTTGATTATTCTTTCAGCCTCCAGATACATTTTATTAGTATACCATTTGCCTTGATTATTCTCAATGTTTTTCAAAATCATTGACAAAAGCTCTAAAACTTGCTCATCAGTATCCTTCCCTTTGAGTCTGTTATTAAATGCAATTACTCTTCTACCACACCTTTGAATAAATGATTTGAGATTTGGGGGAACTGTTTCGATGTGTTGAGATAATGTTCTTCCTTCTTCGTCCAAATCATCCTTTCTAGTGAAAAGAACGATGAAATATTTAAAGATGTCTTCGCCAAAATGCTTGACAAAGTGCATGACAGATTCTTGTTCTTCTTCGGTGTATCTTGAAAGATTCAAGACCAAAATGAAAGCATGAGGCCCCGGTGATGTGATACTAATGCATTTAACAATTTCTTCCTGAACCTTTTTGTTTGACTGTTTTGTATCAAAAACGCCTGGGGTGTCCACAATTAGGATCTTTCTGTTAAATCGAACTGCATGTTTTTGAGAACATTTGCTTGTTATTGATGATCCAGAGACACTTGACTCAAAGAACTTCTTCCCGAGAATTGTGTTTCCTGTGGCGCTTTTTCCGCTGCCTGTTTTTCCGATCAATACTAATCTGATTTCTTCCTCCACCCAGTCTTCACCAGAGTTCACATAGTTTCCTTTGACTAAAAATAATGAAATATTTGCAAAAAAAAAACGTTAAATTTTCAATTTTCAACACGAAGTAAGCACTCTTGAAAACAAATTTATTTAAGCGTGAAATAACTTAACTTTATTCAGAATAGTTATTTCGTCACGTCTCTAAAGCAAATGATTTGAAAGGAATTCGTAAATTTCTCATATACTTGGGTTAAACAATATCCTAATTTTTTTTTAATGACTCAACATTTTTATTATTATAAGGAACCAACAATGAAATAAAGTATTAAATATCAGACAAACCTTTTGTGTTTAACTCACTGCTCTGATTCAATACTTTTAAAATGTGTGAATAGACAAATTTGATGTCACTCTTAGAATCCATTTTTTACCGATCCCATGGTATTAATTTATATGATTTCAGTTACATGTATCTATCTCGCTTACAACATTTTATTTATTTTCTAAAGGTCCAAAACATAGATGTCAACTTGTACACTCGCTTCACTATTTTATTTTCATCTTCACGGAGACAACACAGTTGTCACTCTCACGTGAGAGAGACATCACGAATTGTCTCCCTTTACGTGACATGCTCTAGACCAATCAGATTAACTGTATGATTCCGGAGGCTGATAATATTGTTAACTATAAAACGTGAAGCCAAACTATATTAAATACCAGAGGTGGTTGTATCCTCTCTGTTTAAATTCTGAGGACCTACAAGGTTCAAATATACAAATATTTGATAAAACAATATGTAAAGATTTATGTTGAGTCTACTTGTTTTATGAAAATTATACAATAATTTAAAGTAATATTTGCTCTTGAACGATCGGTTCTAACAGTTCAGCTTTTAAGGACAGACGACACGTTCCTCAATAATATATTTTTTTCCAAGAATTTATCATTAAAGTATTGCTACTTGAATGCGTTTCCTCACAAAAAATTAAGGTACCTTACCAGGCATTTGTGCAAGCTACCAGAGGATGTTATTTGCTATATAATCAGAAACAACTACCACTGCCAATATCATAATTTTGGTGACTTTATCTACTTATACATTTTAAATATCTTTAAATATCACAATATAATGATAATTGTGATTTATTTGTTATATATTACGAAGAGAAAAAACAGTTTTTGAGCAACGTGTCGTCAGACCTAAAGATTCCCGGCTGTTACATGTACACCTCATCCAGCATACAAATACATACAACGTTGTACCAATGTTGAAAATATGTGGATCTTGAAGATGTTGAACAACCAAATCAGAACGTCATATGAAGTTGAGACAAAGACGTTGAAATGACAATTTCATTTCAACGTCATATTGACGCTGAATAATCAGAAATAAACCGACTAGAAGATCGATCGATGTCATTTATGTTGTAAGCATGTTAAATTAAATAATATAAATATTTTGGAAATAAGAACATTTACGATTGTTCATTACAAAATACTTACATCAATCAATTGTTTTTAATTAAGAATGACTTTTATTTTACTTAATACATAAAAAATTATCAGATGCAAGGGAGTGGTTGCTATTTGAATATGATTTGACCTCTGTGCATCACTCTTCGAATTTAAGCCGGTCCCAAAACATTCTCACCAATTCGGTACGTGTATTAAATTACTGGCGCAAACTGAAATAAATATTCTGTTCAGCTAGATTGAGAACGCAATTACTTGTTTGCAAGATTTTGGTAATGCTGATGTCGATTTCACAGTATTTTGTGTATATTATTTCGTCTCAAATGTTTGTAAATACACAAAAAATAATCATTTAAGAACTGACATTCAACTTTTGCTTTTCAAACGTGTTTTTAATATAATTTTAATTAAAAATTTTGTCTCTCCTTCATCAATTTTGCAGAATTCAAAATTCGCAAACAACTGCGCTCTGAAAAGCATAAAATTATGGACATTCCAGATAGCAAGAGGACATTGGTCCAACAATCTTGGTTATATTGGGCCAATGTTGGCAAATTACGTTGGCCCTATGTCCTTTTGCTCATCGGCGCGCCGTTGGCCCAACATGATAGGCCTATGTTGGTACAACACTGTTTGTTTATATTCCAACGTTGGTACAACGTTATTCCAACATACCAACGCCAACTCAATATTTTGTAACGTTGGTCCAACGTTGGACCTCAGTTCAAAATATAATTATTACGATGGTACAACGCTTTTGTTGAAATGTCAACATTGGTACAACGTTATTCTAACATACCAATGATAACTAAATAATTTGTAACGTTGGCCCTACGCTGGACCTCAGTTCAAAATATTATTATTGGTTCAGCGTTGGTACAACGCTGTTTGTTGAAATGTCAACGTTGGCACAATTATTTCTGAATATAAATGTCTTACAAAATCAATTATATTCTGTAACTTTTTTATTTCCCAGATTATACGACACAATTAATTTCACCAAGTTTGGCCAAATAAATTTTTCCTTCTAAAAAGTATCACGGTATATTCTTTGTCATTTTCATCAAAGTATCACGTGGAATGTAACTAAAAGTAGGAAGAGGTAGAGAGTTCAATGTTTCTCGAGTATATTCCACATCACTACATGCATGTCCACTACAAAAAATTGCTTTGATATAAGATCAAGTCCTCAAGTTCTAGTTTGTAGAGTTTTGGAAGGTCACATTTGAATCATTCATTTCTTTTTCTGTTGTTTATCGGCTCTTAGAATGAATATTTTCCACATACATTTATCAGTCCCTTCCATATGAAGAAAATGCCACATCAATAGTCTCATAATATAGAAGGTTTTTCCATCCCGCCAATTCCTATAAACGTTAAGAACGTCATCAATTTAAATAATATTTTCAAATGTTTAATCAGCACTCCGGTACTGATAATAACTGATACTGATAAAAAGCTTACAGGCCATTATAATTTTGAAACACATATATATTTTAAAAGCAATCCTTTAGTTTGAATTTCACATTATTAATTATCAATAACAAATACAAAAACTATACTTACATTTCAAGGGTTAAAATTCTTGCGTTCACTAACAGATCCAGACACAAATGCTTTGTTCAAGTTCGCCAATTCCTATAAACGTTAAGAACGTCATCAATTTAATTAATATTTTTAAATGTGTAATCAGCACCCCGGTACTGATAATTTAAAAACTTACAGGCCATTATAATTTTGAAACACATATATATATATTAAAGCAATTCTTTAGTTTGAATTTCACATTATTAATTTTCAATAACAAATACAAAAACTATACTTACATTTCAAGGGTTAAAATTCTCGCGTTCACTGACAGACACATATGCTTTGTTCAAGTGCGGTACGTGATGGTTTGTGACAAAAAAAAACTTATTAAGACGCTGGTTTCCTTGGAGACCGATGATGCAACTGCCGAGCCAGTGAATTTCACCACTAACCAATTTTTGGCTTTTCAACTTATTCTTCAAGTTGCACATTTGGTGAAAAACATTTGATAGATAGATTAAGAGGTATGTGAAATTCTCAAAAAAAAAAAAAAAGATTATAACATATACATACCTTTAATTAAATCTTTAAAATATTTGATTATCAATAATTGATTTGCACGATGTTTTGTTTTAAGGACAGGTAACTCAAGTGCGAAAAATGACCAACAAAGTGCCGATTTATGAGTTATCGTTTATAGGAATGACATATGGACTGCTTCAGTTGGTATTGTTATGTACACAAAAGTGTTCCTAACATTGTTTTGTACACAAAAGGGTTGACCAAAACAAGGAGAATGCCTTCACTCTACCCGAAAAAAACGTAATCAAATGAATGGGGAACGGACTATATTCAAGATTTTTAGACCAACGTAAGGCCTACATTTGTTCCCCCAACGCCAACACTCTACCAACCATCCAATCAAAAACCAACGTTGGCCCAACGTAGTCATGCTATCTGGGAAGGGCTTTTTTACCAATGGAGGGGATCCTTTAAATTCAAAAATGCGGCGGAGAACATGTCGATGAAGCGTTCACAGTGCTACCCAATAACAGAGAACAATATAAGCATTATCACTAAATTGGATTCTTACTTATGTGAAATTCATACCAGAATTGACACATTTAGCAAACGCTTGCCATACGATTGCCATGACAAACAGGAATAAATTGTAATTAAGGTTTCATGGACGCACGGAAAAAATAATAAATCCGATACCGTTTTTCGGTGTGTTTACTGTAAAAATTATACACACCACACAAAGTACTTCGTTTAAAAGGTCTATGATTAAATGTAATTAACAGCTCAGCTAATTCACTTTTCACTTATTATAGATTAAGAAAAATAAATTTGATAAGGTCATCAAAATATAAGGAATTAAAAGATGAGTTGAAATGTAAACCAATAAAAATAAACGCCCATATTTTAACATTTTTTCAATATTCAAATAACGTCTCTAGACGTTAAATCAATATTCAAACAATGTAAAATATTAAGTTGAATTAACGTCGGATTTCAACTTCCATTCGTATTCCAAATCCAACCAATTCAAAATCATTTCAACATTGCATTTACGACATTGTTACAACGTTGAAATGCTCCTCTGAATACCGGCTATTGCAGCGAGACTCCCTCACTAATGCTCTTTGTAGCTTCAACGGTCGATTTCTTAGTAATAAATCATAATAACATTTAAAGCCAAGATTGACTTATTAAGTCAGGTCTAACGCTTTAGATGTATTCATAATTTCCTCTAATTATCTCTCTGGTAATTTCCTCTTACCAATTGTCTGCTTTCCACTTGCCGGTTCAGTATTTACTTCTTGACTGACTTGTCGCTGCGACCTCGCTTATGAATAACTTAAATTTAAGGTCTAAAATTGCAGCTCTTCAATGGCAAGTGGTGGCGTCTCAATATGAGTGAAAAATTTTCAAAGGGACGTTTAACAAACAAACAAAATAAAGAACAAACAGCTTATGTACATGGATATATTCCCTACATATTCATAGGCAATAGCAAATGATTAAAATTGTTAGATCAAACGTGAAAACCGTGTATAGTACCAGCACGGGAAGAAGAAATAGATATAACGAAATGTGTTCCTTAGTATGCCACTGAATTCACAAAGTTAGTGTAATTGTCTTCAAGCTTCATATTATAGTTTGTCATTTGATTTAGGTAGAAATGTAAATTCTTAAATCAGTTTTTTTATAATTATAATAAATAATTATGCATTTTCTCGTTAAAAATTTATCGACAATTATATTTCAACGTAATAAAAAAAATCGGTACTAGTGTCAAAGCCTTAGAAATTTTTTTTTTTTTTTCATATTCAGATGGTACTTTTTATCTCAAATTTTTATATTAAGCTAATTTCTAAGAAATGTAAATAGCATTTGTTGTCAATGGAAGAAATCAATAATGATTCCCTAAATGATAATGTTAATACATGTTAATACATGTAGTTATCCTGACTGAGGGATAGAATTCTGAAACCAATATATTCACATGACATAATTTTGAATAGTAGACAGAAAAGATAAAAAACTAAAAGTAGAGAATCTACGTCAAATATATGAGTAAATCATATCGTATGACTTTAATACAGGATTTGAAATATTTGCAAAATGTTTTACAACAGGTTTAAAATTTCTTACCAAAATGTATCCGTTCTAGCCTATAATCCCGAGAAAAGGAAGGCGGTTTAATATCTAAAAATAAAAGAATTGCATATACAATGAATGGGTAAATTAAAGAATATGAGTATACATATGTTAGCCATAAAAAATCGTACACCTCATACACTCAATAACAATAAATTGTTAATTAAACCAAAGCAAAGCGAAATTTATGAACGAACAAAATCTTTTAAATCTGCCGCTGTCAAATTCCCTCTCAATGGGAGTCTATGAACCCTTATCTACAAATTTTGGGCTTTTTCACATGCTTTAAGGATACATCACAGGTTTCCAAATGCCAGAATTTAATTTGCATGTAATTCTTTCATTATCAAAAGGTAGATTAAAGATTGAACTTCATGAGCAGGCAGTCACAAATGTGGCAGTGTTTATGTTTCATTATTGTTATTTAAAAACCATTTCATAATTACCAAAAATTTACATGCATTATAAAGCAGTGATTAACTTCTTTTTCTTAGCCAAAAATCTCAAAATTGTTGAAAATCCTGAAAAAAAGCTTTAATTTCTATGGAATGTGGAACCTACAATCGACAAACATTGTGACCTTGTTAGTCTGCTAGGTATTCTCGACCAAGAACAATAACTTCCATAGAAAAACATTTAGAGTATTCCGAACTGGTGTGATACGATATTTCTTTTCGGGATATACTCAGCGCTTTATTCTTTCAGACTTGAGAATATCTAGACCAATCACCGATTACTCGTTTTTGATAGTTACTATAATGAAGAATAATATAATTAAGAGATTTGTGACTGATTCAAAACAAATATTTGCGTAACGAAGTGTTTAACCCATGAAATGATTTTTTTTTTTAAATCTCAACGGTAAAAGATGAAAATAATGAACAAGTCGAACACTTATGACGTCGCTGTGAAATTACATCGATCGGTTTTGACTTAACGATGAATTTGTGGACATTTGAGGAAAGGAATAACTGTCAATTGTTTTTTTTTTTTTTTTTTTTTTTTTTTCAATTTTGGTTTTACGATGTGATCAAGCAATTGGCTTGCGGGATAATTTGCATAAACACTGAAGGCATGTGATTTTTTTATAACCTGCCTTTCGGTGAACCGAACGCAAGTTTTTTAATCATTTGTAGATTTATCTCGGGCAAAGAAAATTGAAATACAAATATACTGGAATAAATACACTTTGTTCAAAAAATGTCATGTAAGGGAAAACATTTGCAAATGTCAAGAATGAGGTCTAATGATACGATTTGTATCCTCTCTGACTATTCTTCATCTACGTTTGATTGCACAGTTTGTAACAAGTGAGTCATGCAACTTGAAATTTTTTTTTTTTTTTTTTTTGAAAATTTTGTCGAGCTCACAGCTTTTCACTAGTTTTTTAAATCTCCTCATGGCTTCTGTCCTTCTTATTTGAATGATTGTTTTGTGTTCCTGTTCAGATAAAAGTTACAGGTATGTTATCAAGCACATTCTGATTACGAAAGCACAAGCTTCTTGAAAGTATCTTTTTAATTTAAAACTGTCTCCTTTATTGTTGTTTTAAACGATTGAATAAGACGAGTTCTCTGTATTAATGAAGAAGCCTTCATTATATGAAGTATAATTATCTTAGTTATATATTTAAATATTTTTTTCTTTTATTCAGCAGTTTATTTTTCACATCTCTGATATTATCTCTTTATCGGAATACATGTATTTTAAACTTGGAGACCGGTCCTTCGGGTGAGATGTATAAATCGAGGTCGCAGTAGGTACTGGCACGAAAAAGATCACACGCTGCTCAATGACCCTAAGTGCCAAGTAAAGGTCTAAAATTTGCAGCCCTCCATCGGCAAGTTGTGTCTCAATATAAGTAGAAAATTCTCGAAAGAGACGTAAAATAAATTTTGAACGTGGAGACAGGTCCTTTGGATGAGACTGTATCAATAGAGGTCCCGTGCCTCAGTAGGTGCTCGCACGAATAAGATTCCTCACTGATCAATGGCCCTAAGTGGAAAGAATAGGTCTAAAATTTACAGCCCTCCATTGGCAAGTGGTGGTGTCTCAATACCAGTTAGAGAATGAAATTACATAACGGGTCAATAGGTTGTATTTGGTATTAAGGTATATATAAATATTTTCAATGCTTAAAATGTTAACGAGCTAGGAATTGTTTATTGAGATTACTATTTTTTTCTATTGATTGATGCTTTCAGTTTTAATAATGACATAGGAGAAGTCAATGTTGGCATAGGGAAGTTCTGATACATTGATATATATATATATATATATATATATATATATATATATATATATATATATATATATATATATATATATATATATATATATATATATATATATATATATATATATATATATATATATATATATATATATATATATATATATATATATATATATATATATATATATATATATATATATATATATAAAGTACTAAAAACCAAAGAATTATATTTAAACATGTGTACAATTACTTTCATCAAAATAACTTATTTTACAAATTTCAAGCCGGTTTTTTGCCAGGTCACTCAACTCTTTATTAATTACATGAAACTTATCACAGCATTGTTAAGAATATCGATGAAGGAAAATTTTGTTGCATGGTATTCTGCGATCTGTCCAAAGCGTTCGACAGAGTGTGGCATA